CCTAAATCATCTCCTCTAGGATATTTAGCTAGGAAATCTTCAAGGCTTTGTATGTGAAATTAACGTTGTACTCAGATTTTGAGATCCGCAGAAATCACAGGAGTCCGAAGTCAATGTAAGTGCACAAGTACGGTTTATTCAAGCTCGGCATATCTGGCCAGCCAGCTGGGACCAACACCCCTTACTGGAGTATAGCCAGCAACAGCACATTCACAGGGTTTTTATAAGGGCAGTCCACTACAGCTGGAAAAGGGGCAATTCACAATAGCCTGCAGGTGAGGGGAAATACCACACATTCCCTGCCTATCTCAGCTAGACAGCCCATGCCTGGCTCTTCTTTGGTCCGGCAATTAAGGTAAACAGTTAATTACCTGGAGCCACATGTCAGATAGCTAGATGTGGGCCTTGATTTGTGAGAATTGGAGCCCATTGGTGCTAAAGGTCACATAGGTTGTTTGGTCTGCAAGTTCACACAGTTTTTTAGTATCTATGAGCCACTGACAAATGGTTGGGATTTTGATACTGTTGTGCCGGTTTTTGAAACCCCCAGATAATCACCAAGTCTGAAGTCGGTGCTGAGGCAAAAAGGTGGTTTATTCAGGTTAGTCTAGGTCTCCCAGCCACCTCCCCCAGCCCAGCATGGCTGGGCGGGGGAGGGGCAGCTGCAGCAGAGGCTGCAAGGATCCACAAGGAGGACAAAAGAGCCAGAAGAGCCAAGGGAAGGGCCCCGAGCCCAAGCCCCCCAGTTCTTATACATTTCAGGCTATTAATTATACAGTCATGACTTAGCAGGCTTCTATTGGTGGGTTTGAAACAAGCAATTTTCAAAAAGTACAAATCGATGAGCTATTGGGCTGTGAATCTTATCAAATACCGGGTACCTCCTTCCTGAGAAGTGGTCTGCCTACGTGACCTGCCAGGTGTCCTGCCGGGTGTCACGTAGACTATCAGGCCTGAGGTTCACACAGCCCCCAGCCAAGCCATTAAGGCAGAATCACAAAAGGCAGAAAACGCCTAGGTTCTTCAATACTTAGGTTCCTCATTATCATTGTTGCAAGCAGCAATCAAATAGTGAAAACAATGCAGTAGAAATTATGTAAATAGAGTCCAGGTAGCAGAATTTCTCAGGGCATAATATCTACTTAAAGCCTAAAGACTTTTTTTGAGGTTGGACTCCAGCCGTTGTCTTCTGGTTGTTTTTCAGTGTTTACTGTCTGCCTGCCTGCCTGCCTTGTACTTTCCTGGTTGCATGCTGGAATTTCCAGTGTTGGTGAACTCAGTCCTTTAGCCAGAGCACCTGAAGGTTCGTACAGGCTGTAAAGACTGAGTGAAGCAATTCCCCAAAGTAGGAAGGATTACTTTGATGTTACTTTTGACATTAGAGAACTACAGTAAATTCAAGGTAGGAAGATCAAGAAGAGCACATATTTCATATTCCCTGCTCATGCTTGTACTTAAAAAAAAAAGTTTGGTACCTGATTATAGACACAATTTTATTTTTAATTTATTGTTTGATTTTTTTTTTCTTTTAAGAGGGATTGTGGAGAGTCAGTGAGCATGAGAGAGAACAATAACAAGAGAAAGAGAAAAAGGAGGAGAAAGAAAGAGAACAAAAAGAGAGAGAGAGAGATGTATTATCCACTGATCCCTCCTCAAATGTCAGCAAGAGCCAGGTGGGACCAGGGAGAGGACAGGAGACTGAGATTTGGTCTAATTCTTCAACCTGGGTAGTAAGGATCCAAGCCATCAGTGTTGCCTCCCAAGCTCTACATGAGCAGGAAGCTAGATTCAGCCACTAGTAGAGCAGCATTCAATCTCAGGGATTCCAATATGGGATATAGTCATCCCAAGCAATGTTGTTTTAAAAGATTTATTTATATGAAAGACCGAGTTACAGAGGGAGAGACGGAGAGTTCTTACAGTTCTTGGAATGGAATGGCATGGCCAGGACTGTCCTGAACCCAGGAACCAGGATCTTCATCCAGGTCCCCCATATGGGTAGTGGGGCCCAAGCACTTGGGCCATCTTCTGTTTTTTTCAGGTCACTGTCAAAGATCTGGATAAGAAAGAAAGCAGCATGGACTTAAACTGGTGGCATCATAGTTGATAGCTTAACTCTCTGCTCCATGTTAGCCCTCCATCTGCTGCGAGATCTTCCTTGTGCCAAAGGTAGCCCCTTGGTATTTTTGTAGTTCTGTTTCAGCTGATTTCTGTGATGCTTTGATGCAGTATTTTGTGGTTCAAACATGTAGCACCATAAATTGAGATCACATCTTTATGGATGAATAATTCATTGCATGGCTATTCCATGCAATACTATATTTTGCTATCTATCAGTTGACAGACATTTGAATCTTTTAAATATCTTGACCATTGTGAATATGGTCTCTGCAAAAACTCACATATTTCTGAACAGATATATTTTCATTTCTTTTCGTTATATACTTAGGAATAGAATCACAGGTCGTACTCATTTGGCAACTTTAGAGTTAACATTTTTAGGTATTGCCAAACTCTTTCCTGAGTGAGTTCACACCTTTCCCTTCCCAACAGCAAAATGTGAGAGTGCCACTTGCTCTACCTCCTCTTGCTTTTGTCTTTCTAATTACAGCCCTAAGTGGCTTTTCAAGATGCTTTTCATTTGTATTTTCCTAATGACTCATGGGAAGATCTGTTCATATGTTGATTTCCACCTGCATGACTTTTTTTTCTTGAGAACTCTGTCTTTAAATTCTTTGCCCATTTCAATTTTATTTTTTTTTAGTTGTTTAGTTCAAAAGTTTATCTACATATTCTGGATGCTACAAACTTAATAGCTCTATCAAGTGCAGACATGGCCATTTCTTCCCTTGACATTTCACTGTTAATAATGTGATTGAAGCTAAAATTTGCCTGTGATTGTGAAGTCCATTTTATTTTGGTCATTTATGATGTCATCTATTTGAATTAGCCAACAGATAAAGAAATTGTTGGGTTCATCCTTTCTTCCCCCAAATTTGCAATAGCACGTACTGGATCAGGCCAAAACCAGTAGCCCACAGCTCCATCCAGTCTCCTGTGTGTGTCAGGGACGCATGTGGGGCTATTATCAGCAGAACAAAAACCAGCACTCAAATATAGGAAGCGGGTGTCCCAAGTGGCTGCTTAAGTCATTGCACCACATAGGCCCACTCCCCAGTCTACTTTCTCATTCAGTTGAATTAACAGACATTATGAGAAGGTCATTCAGAGTTTTAAAAGAGAATAGACAAGAACCTGTAGAAGATTCATCTCAGGAAAGAGATAATTAAGTATTCTGATTTTTAATTTAATATTTGTTGCACAAAGTAATTCATGATCATTTCAAAAAGATGAAAAATACCATAAAAGAACTAAAAAGGTGAAAAAGATAATTGTTACATTCAAGAGAGAGGACTGTAATGTGTGCCATGTCCTGTGTAGAATACTGCAATGGCAAAAGGGCATAAGAGGAGAAAATGAAATATGAAGACAACATAGATTTTAATAACAATGGGAAAACTGTAAGTCTATATTGCATAGTTCTTAATATGTATTTTAATTGTCAAATCATTTTTTAAAATACATATCCCCAATTTTATAGATTGGGAAGAAAGTACAGAATGTTAAGTACCTTGGTTGAGGTAACATTTCTGTCAAGCACAAAAGCTAGAATTTAAATTCACAGAGTCTGGGTCCAAGCCTATGCCTTTAATCACTAAGCTGTGATAATATTCTTTACTTTTCACTATGAAAATATGTTTACACATTTTATAGTTAGTTTCACATTATTTTTATTTTATGATACTGTTATTACTATTACTCAATTAAATGTCCCATGTGCCTTTAAACTGAAAATCTGAAAATGAACGGTTAGAAATTAAATTTTGTAGATAAATCATTGGATATTGATAACTATATAATTCATTCTAATGTTGCTTGTATCAGGGATATTTTATTGTTTAAAATTATCGTAAAGTGAGACATATTACACAGTTTCTAAGATTTCATTGTGAAGAAAAGGCATGGGTAGCTCTCTGCCTGGTTGTTTTAATACAGAGTCATTGGTAAGTGAATAGCAGCTTAGGGAATTTCGGGGAGAATTTTTCCTGTTTGTTCCTGGTTAAAGCATGACCTTCCCTGGTTCTTTGATATGGGCAGTTGATAAAGGGCAAAGATATGCAAAATACGATGCAAATAGAGCTTTAGAATGATTTCCGTGGCATTAACTTCTCACAAGCTGTGTAGAATGTCAGGATTTGGGGGTTTTCAAACTGTTTGTTTCATCTGTAGACGGGATATTGCTTAGTCAAATGCATATTTTCATGTTAATTAAAACTGTAGGAATGTGTTCTAGCACTCTGAATTACACTGATTATTTTTTTAAAATACTCCAAATACAATAGGTAAAGAAAGGTTTTCTTCCCCTCTTTCAAGATTGTAGGCAGAAACCTAAGTAATTTTGTGTTTAACAGAACAATATTTGCTTTTCCCAATTGGATAATCAATTTAACCATACTGGAGAGTTTCACTACAGTATGATTAGAGAAAATAATTTTCATGATTTTAAAAATGTTGAAATTTTAAAAAGGGAAAACAAATTACACTGAATTTGAGCAATGTAGCATCTATTTTACAGTTAGATATAATCTTGACGAGATTTTTGCAGAGTACCTGGCGTTTTTGCAAAGACTATAGTTCTCACCCATTTAACCTCTCAAACCAGTTTTCTTCTACTGCCTATAAGAAAACCTTAGGGTGCTTTTAAACATGACCGGGAATTTTTCTTGGTTGACTAGAAAATATTTCCTGAACATCTGGTATATATTTCAAAAATACGTGGGTATGTCCATTGGTTCCACTTTGCCGAGTGTCCAGTGATCCCCTTCTTGAGGGTGCTGGGCGCGCAAGCCCTCTGCCCAGGGCTCAGGGGACAGGCCGGGCGCAGGGACCCCCGCACTGCGGCAGGCGGGCTGGCATGCGCGGCCGCCAGGGCTGTGCTGCGCAGGCGCGGGCGGGGCGGGCCAGAGTTCTGCGTTGCGGCAGCGATTGCTGTGCAGAGCTCCTCGGCTGCCGGAGATGCCTGACACCTCGGCCTGAGGAGCTGTCAGCGACGCGATGGAGCGAGCAAGGTCAGCGGGAATGTCCGTGTTTCCTCATCAAAGACTCCAAGTGGCCAGCACTTGGAATACCCTATGCCTTGGAAACAGGGGTGCTACAATGCCTTTGTTCTGGAGAGCTAGATCGGACACCTTTGGAGGCTGGGGCTCTGCCCGGTGCGCTGCCATGCCCTCCTGTCTGTTCTAACACCCTGCATCGCCGTAGGCTTGTTTGCGGCTGCATTTCTTTCCTTCCATTCTCAGGCAGTTCCTGGTGCGGATTGTGGATTTGTGGATGGTCGGTGGGAATGGGGCACACCCAGGGAATGGTTTGCCGAGGGTCCGTTAGGGAGAGGACATTGTGGCTTCGGTCAGGATATGCTGAGGTGACCGTGGCCAGGGACTGTGGTAGTGGGAGGGAGCGGCCAGGATCACCTCAGGGAAAGTGCTTGGGGGTCGGGAGTGGACTGCTGAAGCGGTGTGCGCCGGGGTGCGGGGTGCGGCCATTCCGGGGTGCGGGGTGCGGCCGCGCTTGAGTGCTGGGTGAGGTCACGCTGGGGCGCTGGGTGCCGCCACTCTGGGGTGCTTATTGCGGCCGCGCCGGATGCTGGTTGCGGCCACGCAGGGATGCTTGGTGCGGCCGTGCCGGGGTGCTTTTTGCTGCCGCGCCGGGGTGCTTGGTGCGGCCGCGGAGGGGTGCTTTTTGCGGCCGCGCAGGGGTACTTGGTGCGGCCGCGCAGGGGTACTTGGTGCGGCCGCGCAGGGGTGCTTTTTGCGGCCTCGCGGGAGTGCTTGGTGCGGCCACGTTGGGGTGCTTTTTGCAGCCGCGCGGGAGTGCTTGGTGCATCCGCACCTGGGTGCTTTGTGCGGCCGTGCTGGCGTGCTTTTTGATGCCACACAAGTGTGCTTGGTGTGGTCGTGCTGGGGTTCGGGTGCGGCCGCTGCCTGGTGGTAGCTGCATCTTAGGGATAATTGACCGGTCGGAGGGAGTGGTGGGGAGGACAGGGAGCGGGGTGGGGGGACTGAGGCTGTTAGTGGGCCGCGAGGGGCCATGTAGTGGTGAGCATAGCTCTGGTCTTGGGATGATTCTTGCGTTCCAAATGGGAACCAAGGGTGGGAGCCACAGGTGGATTGCTGACATGCCGCAGAGCTATACGTGAGAGGAAACTGGCGGCGAGGGAACCTTTAGTTAGAACAACATGGAACGTAAGGTTTTCTGTGGCTTCTTTCTGTAGTCCAGTTTGTATACTGTGGTTTTCATGTTGCTTTTTACAATTGGTCCACGCCTACTATGAACCACAACATTTGGTCCTTGTATTTTACTGCCTTATGATCTGTCACACTTGTGGCCAAATGGTGTGAGATAGGTAAAGGACAGACACAGCTTGCTTTTATATGTCTGATATGTGCAAAATGGCATCTCAGGGGCTTCCTTTCTGTTCCCTGTTTATGCTTGAATGCGGGGGTCGCAAGGTGGTCCTGCGCTTATCAACGCCATTGTGCAGTTCTGCAAAGATGGCGGCTGCTGCAGAGGTGCGGGTCTGCGCAGGCGCGGCAGGGTGGGGGGCTGTCAGGTGAGGGGTGGATGCCCCCTCCCCACATTGCGGCAGGCAAGGGAGGGGGTTAGCGAACGTCAGCTCAGCTTTGGTTGTTTTAGAATTACATCCAGAAAACCTGCAATGTGCAATGGGGAGAAATCAAGGCGGATTTGGGTGACGTGCTGCCCACTCCCCAAAGTACTGCAGTGGGGAGAGTGGCGCAGGCGCCATGGGCGTGGCAGCTGCTTCTGCTAAATTGGGGCGGGCTGTGGGGAGGGGGTGGTGCAGTCTGCTTGAGTAGGATGGCAACCATATCCACCATTTGTTTGTTCCAGCACTGTCCCTTTTCCTGTCCCTTCCCCCTGCCTGATGCATTACAGTGTAGGAGCCACAATGGGCAGTGCTGGTTCCAGCCGGCAAGCATTATGGTACCCCTCCCCATAGTGTGGAGAACCGGAAGAATAAAAAAGTGGTCTTTGCCTGTGTGGGATGGTAGCTGCAGTATACAGCTGCAATTCTGTTTTGGACTAGGCTGGACTGCGACGGGTCTGCAGCACCCCAGTGACACACCCATTTCAGGACCTGTTGTGCTGTAGGCTGCCACCATCATTTCTAGATTTTATTTTGACTTGCTGGGAAAACTTAATTTTTCAATTTTGTCAATTTCCTTTGATTATGTCGTACATAATTTTCCTTTAACAAAATAGACACAGTAAACTTTTCCAGATCGTATCCCTGTCCTTTGATTTTTACTTTGCAGATTGATAATTTAACGGTTACGTCACCATCACCATTGCTATCAGTGATTTATTCTTCTCTGGGTGTTCCTTAAATGGAAAAATGAGGGGTTGGAGTGTGGTCCCAATCAAGGTGAGGGCTTGTTAAATCTGTAAATTTTGTTGCTCAGAGAAAAAATCAGAAAAATGGTACAAATCCTATTGGGCTAGCAAAATGTGGGGTCATTTACTTGTCTGCAGACATTTTAATAAATGATTTTGATCCATTTTGAAGTTGTAGCTACTATGAAGGTTTGAGAAAGAACCCTGAACCAAGATTAACAGCTTTTCCACTTTGTTTTAAAAATGTGTTTCTGAATTTTGTTTTCCATTTCAGTATTTTCATGCTGTTTTTATATCTCATCAACAAAAGTGTGTCTGAGTTGTAATTAATAAAAAGTAAATCAGGGAGGCTTAGGAAACCTCATTTTATAGTTGTTTCTTTTTGGGTAGTTTGAAAATAACATAGGTTTGGGATTTTGAGTGTGTTAACCATTTGCCAGGTTTTTTCCTGCTTGTGTAAAATACAAATACAGTTTGGTTTAAACAGTTACTTATTTGACCTGTTCAAGTGTTCTTCTGGCCTGCCATTTTATAGTTGTCAGCCCCAGGGTCACAATATGGCAGGCCTCCTTCGAAGGGCTCAGAAATTGAGTCTCTTAACTAGTGTAATAAGGTTTTTTTTAGGAAAATGAGCGAGTGTGAGCTCATCTTGTAATTTGGAATAAAGTAGCTTGTACAAGGAGTTTCATGGCATCATTTTTAAAGAATGGCATGATTTGGATTTATTCATGGAGTTTTAAATATGAGTTTCATAAGCATTGTTCCCATTTGATTAATTTGTATTGTCATTTCTCCCTTTGTATTTTAAAATAATTTCTAATTGATTTCACTCCCATTTTAGATGGATCGATTGCCAAGTCATCTCACTGTTTCTTAGGTATTTTAGGAAGGAGATCTCCAAGTAAGCAAGTTATGACATGTCTTTTAACGTATCAAAGAAGAGTTGATTTAAAAATCTAATTTCTTTGATGTGGATTAAGACTGGTTTCAAAGGACCATGTCTCTCATGTGTGACTCAGAGTTAAGCCTGAGTGACAGTTACTCCTGGCTAAGATTGCCTCTTTTACTTAAAAAGGTAGAGAATGGATGTTAATTTCTTTCTTTCCAGCTGTTGAATGCCAGCTGACTCAGAATTTTTTTTTGGCAACTTGGGCTTTTTTATTGGAGGTATTGATATTTATTCTGTTTGTGAAATGAAGATTTCAGTTGAATATTTATTCATTTTCATGTTAAGCACATTAAAAATTCTGTAGAAAATTGGAAAGTTTAGGAAGGATATCAGAGGATGTCATTGTTCTTTGACTTTACAGTTTATTTCTAGAGGAATGCCTTTTAGTGAAAATGCTTTGGGAGCAAAAATTAATATTAACCACACATACACTCCCCCATTATAATTATTTAACTGCTTACTTAAATTTTTTTTGGTGTTTTTCAAACCCTAACAAAGCAGTATTTTCTTAGAGGTTTTTCTTTACACATGTAGTGATTTAAGCTTTGTGTTCACCATTCAAGTCCAGCAAAGAATATATTTTTAACTAGTTTTAGCATCATTGTTTTATATTAGTAAAGTTAATGAAGCATGCATATTATGAAAAACTGCATAAATCTATTTTTGTGCACTACAATAATATAGCTTCCATTTTCCACAAATTTTTTAAAGTATTTTATAAATGTGTAAGTTTTTATGAACAGATGGATAGAATATTTATTTTGCTTGTTTCCTGATTTTTTTTTTCTTCAACCTAGTTTTCTGACATAATGGGTTGGTACAAGGCAAAGGTAGTTAACAGTATTGATTCTGGCTGCCTGAAGGGGAAAGATCTGATACTTAATGTCTTGTGATTATTAGTATTGGGGTACATTTTCCTTAAAATTTCATCGTATTTACTATATGGCTGTAAATCTATATGACTGTAAATTTGTCTTTACATAAATAGGTATTCTAGGACTTTGTGAAGTTGATGATATAAATTCTCCTGTTTCAGGGATCGCTTGCACCTGAGACGGACTACCGAACAGCACGTGCCTGAAGTGGAAGTTCAAGTCAAACGTAGGAGGACAGCTTCACTGAGCAATCAGGAGTAAGTACTATTGGGGTGAGAAGCAGGTTTTTCTTATGGATTTGTCTTTCATCAGGATACATCTTTAAATTTTAGAACCCTTTTGGTATGCTTGTAAGATGTTTACAAGCAGGCCTGGAACATTGGTCTAACAGCTAAAATCCTCACCTTGAATGCCTTTCCTCTCTGTCTATCTGACTTTACAATAAAAATAAGATAAATCTTTTAAAAAAAGATGTTTACAAGCATACAAATGTTTATGTGTTGCACATTTACTTTCAATTAGAAATCATACTTTTGTGTTAATGTGTACATATTTTTCTCAGAACATATATATATTTATTTATACATATTTAAAGCTTAACACACAGTTTCTGAAAGATAGGTTTAATTAAAATGATGTAAGCATTTCAATGACATGAGACATGCTGAGTTTACATTGAATTTTTAGCATTTGTCATTGCCCCTAAGTTTTGACATTTTTACGTAAAACATGAGTAAAGTCTTAAAGCCACCATGAATTTGTCTCCCTTCCCACTGCAGAGATAACTTGTAAGTATTTTATTCTCTGTATCTTAGATCTGTGCATTATTGCTCTTGTGTGGTTGTTCGTAGGGAAAAGGTAGATTGAAGAGTAGAAAGAAATAGGCGAGCAATGTGTATATTCAATGTGTTGCATTGAAATATGGCTTAGGAGTCTTCCATGTTAATACGTGTACCTATTGTATTATTTAAATCATCAACCTACCAATGCATTATTTAGTTTTAATTTTTTGACTATTAGCAATGAAAGCGATAGCTCAGAAAATCAGTGTATTATGAATAATTTTTATTTATATTATGTAACTTTAATTACAAAATGTAGGTAATATTTTGTGTGACTTATTTTTATCTGCTCATTTTGTATATGGCAGTTGTAAAATATTTGCATATTTTAAATTCCTAGAGAGAATGAACACTTCATTTCTCACTTTAGTTTAAATAATACCCAGAACCAAGATAGAAATTACATTTTAGGAAAATTAATCTGAAGGGAGTATGTTTTAATATTTACATTGTACTTGTGTGTTTTAAAAAGCTTGTTTGTGTCTTCTGTAATAGTTTGTCATTTAAAATAGATGATGTGATTTTACATTATACTATGTAACATCCTTATTCACTGTTCAGAAAATCATTGCAGCTTGAGATCACTAACAGTTTACAGTGGTAATTTAGAGAATGCAATAGGAAGCAGAGATGGTGGTTAGAGTGTCTTTGGAGGCCATTATTAGTGTTTTATTAGATACTGCATTCATTATGGCTTCACTGCTGTTCAGCAAAACATCATTTTATCTTTTGGGATGAGGACATTTGGTATTTTATTTGTACAGGAAACCTTTTGGTGTTTTTAATTTAAAGCAGAAATAATTTTAATTTTTGCTGACTCTTTTTTTTTTTTTTTCCTTTTTTCTCACTTAGGGAATTACCGTTATTCTGCCCTCACTAATTTTACCACCAAATTGTTCTTGTTCTTTGGGATTGGATAATGCCTTATTTTCTCAATCATATCCTTGTTGGGAATTTCTTTTAAATGTTTAAGAAGCTAAGTTTTTTGTTTGTTTTATTTGTTTGTTTTTATTTGTTTTATTTATTTTTTTGATAAGACACAATTTAGGATTTGGTTAGGTGAGAGACTTAATTGCCATTTGGTGGCAGAAATCAGAATGGAGAATGCCAAAGTTAAGATTTCATTTTCTAGTGATTAGAGTAAGAATATACAAAACAATATGCAATTAACAAGATACTAGCTTACTTAGTTACTAACCCAAATTTAATGCAGACTTTGTAGATAAAGTATATGTTTTAAGATTTCTTTGAATTCACACCAGTTGCAAGCTCTACAATTCTCAGAATACACACATTTCTGACCATTTGGCAATAATTTTGCTGCCTTTATAGGCATTTGTAGTTGTAAAAATGACTCAAAGAACTAAAGATTTTTATCATAAAGGATTCAAATAAGCATGCTAATGCGGCAAGGCCAAGGAGGGTCCCAGATAAAGCATCGCTGTTGGCAATTTGTACCAACTAGGAAGCTCAGGAAAACTTTAGTTATTAATAACTTCATTGTACTTTTCATTTTATAGACAGCCTTGATCATATCCTTGATTTACCTTGTGATTGACTTCAGTCTTTATTTCCAGTCTCTTTCCTAAGAAATCGTAGTCAAAACCTCTTACCTCCCATCGTGTTTAGTGTCTGGTATGGCTGACCACAATCTTTTTTTTTTTTTTTAATAACCTTACTTAGTTGATTAGGATACAAAGGGCCAAGGGCTACAGGAAAGTGGGTAATACCATCGTGTCTACACTAATATCATCATTTTCTTGAAGACATCTCAGTAACATCAATTCAGGTGTGATCTGAGGAACCCAAAATAAACAATAGCAACAAAAAACCCTTATACCTTTTTGGGTAAATTACAAAGATTTAGATGATCTTAACTGTTCATCTAACACATGATTCAAATGTTCAAAATCTGAAGCAGAAAATCTTATTACCACTGCCCCATTTTGTAATTCCAGTGCTATCAGATATTTTTATTTACTCATGAAGCTTCAGAAAGTTTGTTGGGAAATGAGTTGAAAAGATTTTTATGGTGAGTTTGCTTTGTGGCAGCACATTAAACATCTGCTTGAACATAGTGGGCATCCTGAGTCAGAGTCTTGCTTTCTCTGTTTCCTACCTAACTTCATTATTACATCTGCCTGGGAAGGCAGCAAACTCAACTGTTTGCTGCCCTGCAACTCCTGTGGGTACCAGGATAGAGTGTCTAGCTTCTGTTTTCAGCCAGCCCAGATGTGGCTGTTGTCGCCATTTGGGAAGCAAGCTAGTGGATCGAAAGTCAAGTAATCAATCTCAAGTCTTTCTCCTCGCTCTAAGCCCTTCTTTCTCCCTTCCTCCCCCTTATCTTTTTTTTTTTTTTTCTTTTACAAACAAGGCGAAGTTGTTAGTGATTTCTTGTTCTGTGCTCTAGGCATATTTTATTGCATAACAAAATAATTATCTACATCTCTCTTTTTTTCATGATCAGATTTACATCCAGGTTACTGGTAAATAGGGATATGTTGAGATCTTTTCTGCAGAATGTTATGCTTATTCATAGATGATTTACACTTTCAGATCCCGTCAACAGGCTGGTTCTTGGAGATGACATCTTGGAGGATCTGTAATGGTGATTGTCTTAAGGCCTTGCCTTAGCAAATTCTTCATGCAACCTAGTGCAGAAAAGAATGTTTCCATCTAGCATGATAGTAATGTGAAGTCAGTGGTCATGTTTCTGACAATCTTGCAACTATTTTTTTAAGTTTTTGGAAATAACCCTAGACTGGCTAAGTATCCACCATTTCCTGGGTTCAGAGACTTCTGTTTAATTTTGTTGTTTCCTCATAAATGTGCATACTCTGAGCATAAAAGATCACCGTAAATGCAAGAATATGTGTTTTCTATGGTGTCAACTGAATCTGCAAGCATTTTTCTCATTCATGCATACTGTGTTCTTATCATAGGTGTCAGTTGTACCCGAGACGTTCTCAGCAGCAGCAAGTGCCTGTGCTGGATTTCCAGGCGGAGCTGAGACAGGCTTTCTTAGCCGAGACACCAAGAGGTGGTTAAAGCAGGATTGGATTTTCAAGGTAGCCGATTCCCAAGCAAAAACCAGGTTAGAGCTGATAAAGTAATGATGAGAAAATGAATTATTGAAACAGGGATTGGGATTTGTGTAATCTAGGGCATTTGAAAAAAGCTTTTTAAAATGAATATATTTATTTTACTTAATTTATCTAAATTATTTATCTAAATAAAAATATTCATACAAAAAACACATAGCACAAAGCTTGTTTATTTTTTAAAAGTGAAAATCTCCCTGTCCCTGACAGGATGATTAGTGATGTATTGCTTCCTGTCTTTGTGGTGTGTGCTTTTTGGAGTCTTCTACAATTTTGTATGTTCTGCTTTCCCTTACAGAAAAAAAAAATGTTAATGGCTGCTTGTGGATGATTCCATTTTATTTTTTGCAAGCATTTGTATTGTGTTGAATTAGTTTTCATTTCCATAAGACAGTAGTGTGATATTTAAAGTAATTATCAGTCTTAATTCTAATTGTAGTATAATTTATACATACTAAATTGTAAATATTCACCATAATCATTAATAAGATTGTTAGAGTATCTGCTCAGTTCCTTGTTTTTATTTGACTAATTATTTCTCTCATTGTTTTGTCTTTTTCTCACTTTTCTGTTTTCATCAATGTGTATTTCCCGTTGGAATTGACAGACAATGCAATAAAGATTGTCCATAAATTATGAATGTGATGTAGATTTATTTTGTCTGTTTATGTTGATTCTTTACATTTTCCACATCAATACCTTGGTTTTCATTCATATTTTTTCTATTTTTAATTAGAATACCATTATTTCTGAATACTAAATACATGTTAGAAAATGGAATTAGGTGCTTGAGTGACTTAGCAGGGCTTTCATTAATATTTTTGTAATATTATTCCTCAACATGAATTAATAGGCCTGTTTATATCTAGTATTTTGAGTTTAAATCTAACAAGACAAGACTTTTCTGGGAACTATTCCATTATTGAAACCTTTACATTAAACATGCCCGATTAATTAAATGACCCTGGTTACAAATCAAGTGTGGAATCTGAAAATTTTCAATCAGGGCATTTCTCAGTGAATTAGTGTTCTAACTCATAAAGCCAATAAATTTTTTGGCATCTCAGTTGAAAACATCTAGATATGGTATTTAAATAATGTCAGTATCTGAAAGTAGTACCATTTCATTTTCTCTTACTTAATTGTATCTTGTTTTATTCTGTGTCCATGTGGTTGTTCTACATAAATACTACTATCTATTAGGATTTCACTAGACCAAGGTTTAATATCTGGCCCATTATATATACATGTATATTTTATTGGAACATGGACATGTCTGAGTATAGCTCATGGCTATTTTGGATATAGAGCAGCTGTTACAGATCAGATGATAATCATATCCTAAAATATTTAATATCTTTGTCCCTTTAGGCCAAAAATATTGACTGATCATTGTTTTAAAGACATACATTGGATGAAAATAGCAAGGGGGCACCAGTGGAAATAACAAAATGCTAAAGAAAAAGGGGTTATTGGAAGATTGTAAATGAAGTATAAATGATAATTAGAGTACTGTGTGAATTTCTTTATTAAAGGAATGGTCTAAGAATCCTACTTTTATACAAATGGGTAGGTAGTTTTGAAGGCTACTTTTAAAATTTCCATTTTAATTATAAGCATGTGAATTATGATAGCCAGGAAATTTTAGAAAGTAATTTTATCAATGTTATAGACAGACTGTCCTTATTCCTCAGCCCTGAAATTGAAGATGCTTCAATTTGAGCACTGACATGACACCTTAGGTGCAAAATTCAATATGCTGTCTTTTTTCTTGCACGAGATTACTAAATCTCTCACATAAAATTACTGTGTACAATGTGTATATGTTGTATATGAAACACATATGCAAAAATAATGATGTGTATGAAAATACTCAAAAATAAAATAATTTGAAATGCAAGTTACTTGTCCCAAGCATTTTATAAAAGATACTGAACCTCTAGTTCTGTTTTTTAGCACAAAAAGTTTAAGGATAAATTTCCCAAATGTGGACATAATATCTAAAAATATTTATGTGTTTTAAATATAAAATTTCTGATCTACTGAATTAATTCCTAAATAGTTGAAGGCAGCAAGGCTGTGTCAGGCAAAAATCACCAGTCAAGAGTTCAAACTATGTCTATGGCTTGCAGGGATACCACTGGCTGCCAGACTACAAGGTTGGAAAATGCTGGAATCTGGAGTGGAGCCGAGATGCCATCATAGATTGCAGTTATCCCAATGAGTATGAACTACTATGCCAGAGTCCTTCTATGGAATGAGTTTTAAATGTGCAATGGGAAGTTTTTTCCTCCACAGGAAATTTTGATTGCCATAAAGCCTTACCAGATTTGAGGTGGGCGTGTGGACATTGATGTCCTGCATTGGAGTGCCCGAGTTGGATTGTCAGCTCTGACTCCCGACGCCAGCTTATTACCAATGCATACCCAGGTGACAGCCTTGATGAAATGGATAACCAGATTGCTGCCACCCACATAGGAGACATGGTTTCTAATTCTTGGGAGCCCTCTGCCTGTCTAAATAATCAATAAAAACTTACAAATGATGTGTTTCTCATTACAACTGTCGGTTTTTGAATAAGCAATCCAATGATGAAGGTATTTTTTGATAATAAATTGGTAGAGCTGTGTCAAGTAGTATCTTCAGTTTAGTTATATACTCCTGTTTCTTTACTGTTAAACTTTTTTTTTGCATTCTTCGTGTAAGGAGTAATTATGGAGAACCCACATGGTTCTAAATTAAGGAAAATTTTGTTTATATCCCGCATTAAAAATGTATTAATCAGAAGTAATGCATATCTTCCCCTGAATGCTTAATTGGATAGAAGATTTAAGACAGACTGGATAAGAAATCTGCAGAAATCTGTTATCACTTGAACACAAACACTGATCTCTTTTAGTTGTTTAAACTTACAAGCCAAAAACTTTAGATACATTTAGATGATATCTGTAGCATTTATTCTTACATAAGAAATAATAGCTTAGTTATTTTCTGTTGAAATTAAAATACTACATATAGTTTCATTTGCTGTAATCACTCTTATGTGGTCCATTGTCTGTTATTTTGTTTTGGTCATTTATTGAGGGATCAACAATATCTTAATGGGTTAGGATTTCCTTTTATTATGTGTGCCAATTGCAATACAAAATCATTCTTAAGATTTTATATATCTAAGCCCCAAATGTAGTTTTTACACATAATTTCATTGTGATGTTATTTACATTTACATCAGTTTTAAATGTTTAATTCCAAGTTTTCATGAAAAATGTGTCTCACTTTGTAAGATCAGCAGTGTGAGACACTAAGAGCGTTCCTTAGATTCCATTGTCATATTAATATCACATTTTTGAGAAGTAATGGTAAAGGTAACTTGTTGCTTTTATTATGAAGAAAGCCATCAGTGTGTGTCTATTTCTGTTATGTATTATGACGTAAGAAGCCTTAAGTTTGCAATTCATTCAGTTCTTTAAGAAAGAGAATACTACAGTTGAAGGAGTAAAAGAAGCAGCTTGAAATAACCCGGGAGTAATTGGTATTATACATGTCTTGGAGATGAAAGGTGGAAAGGAAGAATAGTAAGTTTTGAGCCAGGTAAATGGAAAGATATTCTTGGTAAAATGAAATTATAACAGCTTCATCAGTCACAGGTACATCAAATGTGAATTTTAAATAAATATGAAAAGATAGTGGATAGAAACATGAGATAGTTTTTTTAATGTATTTTTTGTGCAAAATTTTCTGCCTACTTGATTGTAGTGCAGCTATAACATGCTTTCCTCTGCAGGCTCCATCTACTGTTAGCGAAGCTTCTGCACAGCTTGCATTGTTTCTAGGAGAACCTTCCATCATACCTTTATCTGTAGCCTTCCCTTAGGTCTAAGGGTCCTGAAATTCTACTTTGGACATTGGATTGGTGGAACCGCAAACATGGTAAGATGTATGGATGTTAAGGTGGATGGTGGTAAGCTGAAATAAGGACATTGAGTAGTAACAGTTTGCAGTTACATGTGGGTGCCTTTGGGTTCTGAATGTTATAACAGGATAAATGTTTAGACATGCACTCTAATTGCATTGAGAAACAAATATGGATTAGAAATGTTTGTTTTCCTGTTAATGATCTCAAAGTGGGTTGGAAATCATCTTGAAAGATACATAAGATGTGAGAGAATATGGGTGAAATTCTAGTCATATTTTGAGATCTTGGGAGACTTTTTCATAGTCTTAGATTATAGTAAATGTAAAGACTACTTCGACAATTGAGCTTCCAAAAGGTTATATGGATCTCACAGTCTAGAGCACGTGTTATCAAAGGGAATGGTACCATTCACAAAGGGGTGAAAATTGTTGAGACATCAGAGTTACAAAATGTTTTGGTACCTTGTAGGAGTTGCAATGTTTAATTGAAGCAGGAATTTGTCCAGGATAAAGGGAATTATCAACAGTGTCACATACTATGATAGCAGCATGCTTTAGCGGTGGCGCAGAGAATAAGATCAACATTTCAGATGTACAAGGGTGGTTGTCTCATGGATCTCTGGGAGCAGTTTTAGTTATGATGATGGCAGTGCTCTCTAGGCCTTTAAGGGTTAGTGGAGTTATTGTAGAAATGTTTAGTTGTTCCAAACTCAAGTTTAGTCCCATAAATTAAATGTTGAAGAAAACAAAGTTAGGGAGATATGTTATGGGGAACAAATTTAATATGATTAGTCATGATGGCAGAAAGGTTAGATGCAGTTGGTCATTGACTCCTCATTTTCCTGTTTCTAGACTGTGGGCAAGAGCAGCAAGATGCTTCAACACATTGACTATAGAATGAGATGTATCCTGCAAGATGGCCGAATCTTCATTGGCACCTTTAAGGCTTTTGACAAGCATATGAATTTGATCCTCTGTGATTGTGATGAGTTCAGGAAGATAAAGTACGGGTGGTTTGGGTTTGGGTAAAGGAAGTTGGAGTCAGAGGCCAGGAGAAACCAGGACAAGCTGAAGTAGGGTTTACAAAGGCTGGCGAAAGAAAAACCATGACAGTGCAGTGCCTATCTATATAAGCTATTGACCTTGTCTCAAAACCACAGCATTGCACCCAAGTAACAACTGGTTTGATTTTGTAAAAGCAGTTTTTGATTTATCACTAATAAATTAAAATTTTTCAGTATTGCCAGAAGATCTAGTTCCATTTATTTTAAAAAATTAATTGATCTGTAATACTGCAATAAGGTGGAGCAATCCATCATGGGGGGAGGGCAAGAGGAGGGGAAGAGGGAACATCAGAGCCTATGAAATGTTGTAAAATTAAATGCAATAAAAAAATTTTTTTTAAAAGCTAGTGTAAAAAAGAAGAAAAAAAATCTTATTCAGAGTCTGCTGCACGCTTTTTTTCTTTCCAAATTGAAGAACTCTTGATTGAAATAAAAGATATTATGTATAAGAGTTCATATTAGAGGTTAAGATGAGTGCCCTGCCCTGGATTAATACCCTGTTCCAATTCCTGACTCCAGCTTCCTCCTAATGCATTTGGATTTCCCAGTGTTTTGGCCCCTCCCACCCATGTGGAAGGTATGGATTAATTTCTCAGGTGGCAACTTTGCCCCATTTGGGTCTTTGATGACCATTGATGACATTGGAGGACTTAACCAAGAGGTTGTAGCTATTTGTTTATCTCCCTCTTAGGTCAATAAAATAAAGGCATTTATTTCTCCTCTTAAATTGGTAACTGGGATTTTAATTTTTCCTGTCTTACTTTGTTATGTCATTTGTATCTGTAGAGAAGTGATTTGTTTACTATAGTGTAACATTAAGTGAAATAGTCTGAAAAGCTAAAATTGTATTTGTTATTTATTAACTGAGTTTAGGTTTTTTTTTGTTGTTGCGTGTAAACAATTGAGTAGCTATTTATGAGTATCTTGTCATTAATTATTAATTGATTCATAATATTTTGCAAATTTTTGAGTGATCTACAAATCACTACATTTTATCTTAAAACTAAAATTTCATTGTAATTTACAGGCCAAAGAATGCAAAGCAACCAGAACGGGAAGAAAAGCGGGTTTTGGGTCTGGTCTTGCTGCGTGGGGAAAACTTGGTATCGATGACTGTTGAGGGACCACCTCCCAAAGATGTAAGGAAGATGTGGGACAGGACAGACTTTTTTCAATAAATAAAAAAACAATGTTTTTTTTTTTTTTAACCTGATTCACAAAGAATTTTGATGTGAAAGGACATTAGATTATTTCTGCCATGTGAAGTCATGGTACAGTGAGTTTGGTAGAATATATCTACCAAAAGAGCCATCATATACTGACATTCCTGGTCGCCATTTATTTAGGAATGTAGGGATTTTTGACATGTTGTTCTACATGCTGGGTACTACCTAGATAGGGATAGGAGTGAGCTGATTTACTTGGTGGGTTATACCAGGGTACCTTACTGATTTATTCTTTTGGAATCAGAACTAATAATGAGATAGCATGGGAAAATAATAAGGAGTGACCTGTGAATAAGACTACTAAAACTTGAGAAATTATTATCCTTTTAAGCTAACAATTTTCTTGTTTTAGACTGGCATTGCTCGGGTACCACTTGCTGGAGCTGCAGGAGGCCCTGGAGTTGGTAGGGCTGCTGGCAGAGGCGTACCAGCTGGGGTCCCAATTCCCCAGGCCCCTGCTGGATTAGCAGGCCCTGTCCGAGGAGTTGGGGGGCCATCACAGCAGGTGGGACACTAGGAGAGAGTTTTAGGTTATGGAAAGAGTGTGACTAGAGCATGATGCAGTTGGGATTTAAAAATTTGATGTACATCTTATGGTGTGAAAAGCAGATGCTATAGAATGAATTAATGGATAATTACTTCAGGAATGTTGATAAAGCTAACTACATTAACATAGTAATTCACCACTATTAGTGAATAAGGAAAAATATAGATGATAAATTGCATTTGGGAAAACAAAGCTTATTAGATATTGATATGTCATGATTTAAAAAATGGGACTAATGATAGGAGTGGAATTATTGTGCGTAGTGTTCTGTAAATTATAACCACCTTTTATTTTTTTTTTTGGATGGAAAATTGAGGGGTATGTCATCTTTACTTTCTTTTCATGTTTTCACAGGTAATGACTCCGCAGGGAAGAGGCACTGTAGCAGCTGCTGCTGTTGCTGCTACTGCCAGCATTGCTGGAGCCCCAACACAGTATCCGCCAGGACGAGGGACTCCACCCCCACCTGTGGGTAGAGCAACCCCACCTCCAGGTAAGAGTTGGTGAAGAAGAAGAATTTGAATTTTTGATGAGAATATGTGGGATCTCTGTATTGCCTGCATTCCCAGGATAATTGCGAAAAAGGTGATGGGATTTTGAAGTTGGGAATGACATACAGGAATAATTGTCAATAAGTTAAGACTTAAAATTGCTTGTGTTAGGGACCATTTATTCACCATTACCTTCCAATTACTTACCTTAGCCATCTTAGGAAGCCTTAATTACTATTTTTTTTTCAAATGTATTTATTTGAAATGCAGAATTACATTGAGAGGTGAGAGACAAAAGGAGAGGTCCTTCATCCTCTGGTTTACTCTGCAGATGGTTGCAATAGCTGAGGCTTGACCAAACTAAAGCCAGGAGCTTTTGTTGAAGTTCCCACGTGGTTGCAGACACCTAGGCACTAGAGTTGTACTCTGCTACTTTCCCAGGCACATTAGCAAGGAGCTGGATTTTGGTGGAACAAATGGGACACAGCAGGCAGTGATTATGGGATGCTGACACTGTGGGGCTGCTTAATTCACTATGCCACAGCACCAAATAACACATTCATATTTTTCTTTGTAGGAATTATGGCACCTCCGCCTGGTATGAGGCCACCAATGGGCCCACCAATTGGGCTTCCTCCTGCTCGAGGGACACCGATAGGTATGCCTCCTCCAGGAATGAGACCACCTCCACCAGGAATTAGAGGTAAAGGGAAGCACACAGCTTATGGATGACAGCCAGGCCTTTGGAGAATTCTATGACATTTATCTGTCCTATCTTATTCATTCATTTATTTATTTATTTTTACTTTCCAGGCCCACCTCCCCCAGGAATGCGTCCACCAAGACCCTAGAATATGTTGCTCTGTCACTGTCACTTTTTCCCCTGCAATGCATCTCGTGAAATTGTGCACAATGTTTGTGAGCTTTTTGTCCCCACTTTCTGCGTTAATAATAACTAATAATAAATGCACATATCAATTAAACTGTGAGGAAGTGTTGTACATTTTTTGTTGTCTACTGTTTTTTTTTTTTTCAGGGTAAAACAGATTTTTCCAATTTTGAAATTGTGAATGAAATGAATTATATTAAGCAATTTATTCAGATCACTTATTTAATTCTTGGAGCAAATGTTTATGATGCTTGTTTCTGTTTTTAAGCTTTGATGTTAGTGTGTTGGTTGGTGTTGGTAAATATTTCATAATAAGGATATATGCAAATTGTGCCATTGTCCACGGCAGGCCAACTGCTCATTATTTTAGTATGCCACATATGTGAAAGGAAATGCAGATGGGAGCAAAGGCATAAAAGACCACCTGTGAATTGAAGGAATAATGATACTAACTATGGCATGATGTAATTTAAGAAAAAAGTGTACTAGATGTCAGTCTTATTCCTGGGAAAACTGCCTAGTTGATCCGCTTTTCTACAGTGATGAGAACAGAAGACTGACTTCTGAAATAACCATTCCCTATCAGTAAGTATTCATTTACACTTTACTCAAAGCATTTCAGATCCTGGCTCATGGGAGCCAGAGGACTGTGTATTTGAGATAACTGAGATAAATTCCATAGGATAAGAAAGCTGTGTGGCTTACAATAAAATTAATTTATAATTAAAATAATTTGTACCAAAATAACTTTAGACATTATATTTTTAATTGCACCACTTTGATGTAATAGAAATTTTGGAGTAGAGTATTTTTGGAGTTAGAGCTAAAGGAATTTCCTATTATATAGATACACTTTGAATTGGTCATGGAAAGGAATATTTGTTATGATTTATTTTATTTGGAAGGTAGAGTATGGTAAGAAACAGACAGACACACACACACACGCATGCACACACACACACACATACATACATACATACATCCTCAGGCTGCCATTCAGTCCTTAAATGGCTTCAGCAAAGCCAGGACCCTAAATTCTAGATGAATACAGGGGCCCAAGAAATTTTGTCATCTTCTATCCCCCCCTCAAGTCCATTAACAGAGTGGTGGATCACAGAGCAGGGAGCCAGCAATTGAACGGCTATATGTATGGGATGTCAGCATTGCTAGTGGTCTCTATATCTGCTTGGTTACATTCCAGCACTGGTAATTCATTTTTTTAAAATACTTATTTATTATTATTATTATTTTCATTGGAAAAGTGGATATACAGAGAGGAGAGAGAGAGAGGAAGATCTTCCGTCCGATGATTCACTCCCCAAGTGAGCGCAATGGCCAATGCTATGCCGATCTGAAGCCAGGAGCCTCTTCCGGGTCTCCCACGTGGGTGCAGGGTCCCAAAGCTTTGGGCTGTCCTCCACTGCTCTCCCGGGCCACAGGCAGGTAGCTGGAAGGGAAGCTGGGCTGCCAATAGAACCAGCGCCCATATGGGATCCCGGGCGTACAAGGCGAGGACCTTAACCACTTGTGCCACTGAGCTGGGCCCCAGTAATTCATTTTTAAAAGTGGGAATATTTTTACGTTTTGCCTCTGATGTTTATGAATTATTGATTGACATGAGTTAGCTTGTCAAGAACTACGGTTGTAGAGTATCAGTTATGTAATACATTTAAGCTTTTAAGGGTCATTGGAGTTACATATTTTATTCAGAATGAATTTACATTTTCAGAACAAATTATGAAGTTTGATAAAGAATGCCCACAAATACCCATGCCCATCTTTGCTTATTAAAATTTTATTGATGTGTCACAATAATAAACTAGACCCGACTTTGCCTAACTTTTTATTAAAATTCCCCCTTTCCCTGCTAGACTTCCAGAATTTAGTTACTGCATTTTAAGCTCCCAACCTGTGAAGGATAGCATGCAGTATTTGAATGTGACTGGCTTATTTCACTAACTAGTACATTCTTGAGTTCCATATAGTTTACTAAAAAAGACAGGATTTTATTTTTTATGGCTGAATCATATTCCATCAGGCATATACACCTTTATTTTATCCATTAATATGATGATACATACCTTGCTTGATGTCACATTTTGACTATTATGAGCTGTGCAAGCTGTCCATGATTGAGAAAGTGCTTCTTTTATTTTTTTTCTTTTACTTTATTAGCAATGCTTGTATATTTTTTCCCATCTTTAAGTCATCCTTGTAAGACATTTAAAGAAGTAACCATTGAAGTGACAATACTCAAGAGCATTATTTATATTCTATGCTAGAGTATTTTCTAAAAATGATGGCCAGTATGAGGTATGGAACACAAAGGTAGCCCATGCTTTGTTTTGTTTCAGAGATATTATAGATAGGATTATAGTTTTTAAAGTTTGTGATGTTAAAATATACTGCTTGATGATGTGTCAAAGAAAGCACTTTCTCTGAATTTGGGAACTAAGGCCAATCAGTTAGCATAAATTAATCCATTAGTTTTTCTTTAGAAGCAATATGTGCGTAGTATTTAAAACTATTAATCTGGAATTTGTATTTGGAAGGAAAATAATTCCTTATTGAAATATGCTCACATGGATGACTCTTAAATTCTGGCATGAGTGATAATGCAGCATACTTATTTTATTGATCAACTATGTTGTATTTTTGCAACATTAAAGTGAATTAGAAGAATTGTAGATTCTGCAAGATAGTTTGTCTTACTACATTGCTTGCATACAATATAATTGTATCTTTCATCTCAGAATCCTGGGCATTTTCAGAATCATGCAGGTTACTGACTAGAAGTCAAGCCAGCACACATTTTCAAGTGTGACAAAATATGGAGTCAGATAGATATATGACATGAATTTTTGTTGTGACTTGGCTGATCTAAGCTTCTGCTGGGTTCTATTGGGGATATAGATTAACCTGCCAGCCTTGTAGAATTCATGGCTTAATGTGTTTGATATACATGGCTTAATTTTGATATACATGGCTTAATTTAATTTCTCTTGTTTTATTTATTTATTTTTAATTAATTAATTCATTCATTCATTTGTAAAGATTTCTTTTATTTTCATTGGAAAGGCGGATATACAGAGAGGAGAGACAGAGAGGAAGATCTTCCACCCCATGATTCACTCCCCAAGTGAGCGCAACGACCGATGCTATGCCAATCCGAAGCCAGGAGTCTCTTCAGGTCTCCCACGTGGGTGCAGGGTCCCAAAGCTTTGGGCTGTCCTCAACTGCTTTCCCGGGCCACAGGCAGGGATCTGGATGGGAAGCGGGACTGCTGGGATTAGAACTGGCGCCCATATGGGATCCTGGGCGTGCAAGGCGAGGATCTTAACCACTTGCGCCACTGAGCTGGGCCCGAAATTATTTATTTTTAATTTTGAATTTTATGGAACATTTCTGTAGAGTCTGGCATACCTCACCTTACCCCACCCACAATTTCCAACCCCTGACTGGCTTTCCCCATATTGTTACAGTGGTATAGTCTTTCATAAGCGGTTATAATTGCCTAAGTCTCTTAAGTGTGCCCCAACATTGCTGGTACAGACAATGTCACACATTCCAGCATCCCATTGTTTAGACACGTCCAACTGTTTCATTGGAAGTAGGGAAGGATGCATGATGCATTGCATCCGCATGTCTGGACATGGTAGTCTCTGTTACTCCATCAGTATATATTCCCTTAATTGTTTTATATATCTACAACATAAAGTCAAAGAGATAGAGAGAGAGAGAGACAGACAGACAGTCAGACCGACTGAGACAGCAAGCTTTGCAATTTCACTTTGCAAATGGTCACAACTGGTTCTACTTGAAGTCGGGCACCAGAAATTGTATCTTTTTCTCCTACAGGGATCATACAGGACATCTTCTACTGCCTTTCAACGTACATGGGCAGTCAGTTGCAATCTGAAGCAGAGCAGTAGAGATTAGAAACGGCAATCTCTGTGTTGCAAGTAGTAGGTAGATTACTCACTCTTCCACAATCTGAGGGACTCATTTTCTGGTTTCTAATACACATTTTATTGTGTATCATTTAACTGCACAATTACATTGATGCTGTGTATCGTATTTAATACTTATCTTCACTATGGTTTAGAGAATGTTTCAGATAGAATTTATGGATTTCATATTTAAACTAAAAGTAAGTTGCAATATATTTGGTGCATTACTATGAACTGCACTAGGTACTAAAATTTATTGTAAAAGGAGAGTTTTATGCATTCATTTGCTCTTTATTAGGCTATCATGCCAAATATTAGAATTTGTACAGTAGTGTTTTGTTTCTTGAAATAAAGAAGCTAAATTTTAGCTGGTGGTCATAACACCGTGAAATAGTATTGCTTTCATATTATTTTCGTACTTTGGTTGAAAAGATTAGAAAAGAACATGGTATGTTCACTCAATATTACCTTTGTTAACTTCACAAATAGTTATGACCTATCTTATATGGTGTGGAATTTCCAAATGAATGATATTTATGCTAAGACTCTTTGTTCCTTATCATTGCATTTCTCTTCTTTAGTCCTGTTCAGAAATCTAATTCTCAGTATATGAATTTTATGAAATAAAGCAAAGCACACATACTGCTAGTTTTTTTTCTTTTCCTTTTTTTGAATAGTGAAGTAAAATGTGCCTAAAATGGATGTTTGTGTTGCAACATTTTCACCTGAGTTGTTGAATCTGAAGGAAAGAGAATCTGCTGAAATTAATGATGTGGCATCACATGGAACCTAGCCAGTAGTATTTCAACAAGGCTGCAAATCATACTAGCTGCATTTAGGACTGAAACATACAATGTTCCAGGTAAAGTGACCTTATAAGAAAAAACCATTTCTATTGCAGAGGCTTTGACTAGGTTCATGATGACACAGGACCTTGTCTGAAAATTAATGATTTCAAAATTTGAGCTTAAAATGACATTCTGAAATCTGGTCAATGTGCCTCATCTCAAACTTTAGGAAAATTTTACCTAACATGAATAAACATTGAATATACGAGCATGACAGGTGTAATGCTACCCTTTGCCAGCACCCCCATATTTGTACATGGATTTTTCTGAGCATTTTTTTTTCTTTTTTCTACACT